CTTGTTAATAGCAACTTTTAAAATCTTAATTTGATGATTGCAAAGGATTTAAATTGTATGAAATTCTCTAAGCCCTACTTCAATGTATGTGCAGATTAAAATGTATCAATTTCATATTTTATACTCTCATTCTATAATAGGACTTTATTGTAAGATCCGCAAAGGCTTGATGCAAATCATAATTATCTTTCCCAATTTGATTTCATACTCCTATCTAGAATTCAGCTCCTTCTTCATCTTCATATGGAATGAAAACCTCATAATCAACTTCTACATCTTTCCTTAAAGCATACAGATGATACCTGCCATTTTTGTAGGTGCTCATATGGAAGAAATAGAGCTTTTAGTTTTTTATAATGTCCACTCAGCTTGATATGAATAGATGGAAATGCTTTCTACATTTGCACCTCTAGGCATTGTTTCCTTTAATAAATAAGACAGCCTTATTGCAGGTGCTCTCCCATGGACTTTTATCAATTGCTTTTCATATTAAAAGCTTTATTATTTTTAGCTCATCAACCTCATGCATCACCAAGAATGTTTATTGCTTAAGACTGTGGGCAAAGGACTGTTTCAAGGGTTTTACAAAAATAGATAATGAAAGAGAAAAGCACTAATAATTCCATTAGCAATTCATTTCAGATCCACAAAAGTGGCAGTTCACTAACAACTACTATCTCACAGATATACACACACACTCAATACTTTCTTCTTTCATAGAAGCATAAGGCACCCAGCACACTAAGTATTACCTATAAAGTAAGAAAGGCTTCCAGGCATTGCAGTAATAACAATAAATACTAACCTACACAAGCTAACAGGAGTAAATACGAATACTTAAAATCCTTAGTGCATGGGAAACCATCAGATAACCTTTTCTGCTACAAAACCTCTTTTAAAAGGTCAGATGTTACAACAATGCACTGATTTGCACAAAACAGGCCATGATAAGGTTCTTAGGCAACTAGGTATAATATTTGGTAGCATGCAGATTTTCAACATCCTACATGCATCCCATCAGAAAATCTTTTATCGTACCTGGCATCAGTGTTTACAGCTATAGTTCTCTAGACCCCATGGCAATATTAAGACAGTCAATCAATTCATTCCAAGTAAAGAACAAAGAATATGTTGCAGCATGCAGTGCCAGTAACCAGACTGATGAAAGGCCAGATCTACTGCTTCAAAGGAAAGCCATTGAAACCAAAGGTGAACAGTGTTTGGTTTCGCTTCGCTAGAAAATGAAACAAGAAAAGGTCATGAGCATTCACTGGTATTTGCTTAAAGTATACTGGACTTTGAGCACTAGCCATAACAAAGGCTCAATTCAGATGGTACAACAAGGTAAAATGCTACTTCTGAACAGTTGAAATTTGATTTGTTATTATGACAATGTTAGACAACACTTGCCCCAATTAGCTCATGTGGTCATGCAAATATGCAAAAAAAAAAAAAAAAAAAAAAAAAGCAGCATTGATACAGATTTCAGATACAGAAAAGTTCCTTTAAGTAAAGATCAGATATAAAATGTAGAGAAAGAATTAATTATATCTAATTTTAACTGATAATATGATGCAGTTTTAGAGAATATCTTTTGTTGAAATATACAATAAGAAATCTATGAATAAAGGTTTGATTTTTCTAAAGATACAATATTACTTTGCCATTGGAAATCCTCTCTAGGTTGAGGGAATTATTACGCTGTCCAGTATTTACATTGCTACATACAATACATGAAATCACTAAATGGATCTGCTCTTATAACAGAGATGTGAATTATAATTAGTTCCAAACATAAAGTACAGTTAGAAATTTTGCACATGTAACAGACATTTCTAGCCATCTTCCCCACTGATCTGAACAAACAGGATTAAGGTAATGGACAACACACAGGAAAACTAGTCCAGAAACAGAGAGCACCAGTATCAATGACCAACCACTTTCAGTTGGAATTTCTCACTCCCTCAACAAATTGTTTCTAATTTGATGACTAGTATCACACAGGCTTAAAAACATCATTTAAGGTTGAAGGTTCCTCTGCTATTACCAACAGCATAATGTAAATTTATAATAAAAAGATAAATGTTATTCCTTATTTTTATATGTTTCTTGCATAATCACACTGTTCTGTATTTAAATTTTTTCAAGGTTTGTCTAAGAAGTTTTTGCCTCAAAGATACTGAGGCTTATTTATGATTTAATAGCAAATGCCATTTAGAGCAAATAAAGTGTTTTTCTTTAGATACATCTTTATCTTAAACATACTCCTAAAAAAGTAGTTTTCAGTAAGAGTTTACTAAGGAATTCTGCTACAGGAAAAAAATAAGCTTTGCTGCAACATCATAACATTACATAAACATTTCCTATTGAAATATATCTATACATATATATATTTACATACGGAAAAACATACACATGCTTATATGTTATTGCAGACTAATCTAAGTCTGGAAGGCTGATGCCAACTTGCTTTCCAACATGAGACCAGTAGACACATTTTAAAATGAAAATTAAACAGTGTATTAATCTTGAATTACTCCTCTTCAGAATTACAAATTTTACCCATCAGCTGAGGATGCACAAAGAAAGTAAGTAAGCATTCTAGTTATAAATGAAACTCTCCTTTGCAGGAGAGCACAAGTAGATGCTCTAATACTTCCCAGTGAACAATTACAACAAGATATAAAGGGTCAAACATTTGAGTTCTATTTACTAGAATAACAGGAAATGCAACCATTCTTCTTTTGCTTTTCCACAACAGCAAAAGCAAAGTAAAATATTTAATCTGACTATTGCTACACCACAGTCACCATTTATCTAGAGCTAAAACCAGCGAGAGTGAATTTAGAACAGGGTCCTAATTAAGAAGGAGGCCTTGAAGTAATTATTTTTTCCTGAATGTTAAATGTCTTTGCTGTACAGAGGTAAATAAAGCATCCTGGGAGATGAGCAATCTGCAGATGATATAACCCAATTTTGGTACGACACAGCTGCTGTATTGTGCATTTTGTTGCTGGTAGGCCTCCCAGGACTACATGCCATTGCCTCTCCAAGGGGTTGGAAGAGCAGAACTCTATTGCTACAGTTCCTTCACTGCAGAAGTTCAGACTCCCTGTAAACATTCTTGCAGTTGTTTGTAAGAGCTGCCACCCCTGTATTCAGTATGTCCTCCCAGAGGGAGAACCGAAAGGATTTAACTGAAATTCTACATAACAAAGAACAGGCTACGTGCCTGAGAGTGAAGAATCATCCTGACATATTGATTAACACCCAGCAGACACACTATAAATGAGGTATAATTTGTCAGGACTCAGTGACAGTCTTTGCTTTCTTAAAGCTCATCTTCTATTCGCTCTTCTAACTTCCTTTTGGTTTAAGCAATTTCTTGAGCTCGTCTTCAGCCAAGTGTCATCTGCTCTCTCCCATAATCGTTACCCTTCTCACTAATTAGCAAGGTTTAGCTTCCTCCTGTTATGCACTTAATTAACTTCTCCACCTTTGGAAATGCAATTTCCCCTGGACAAAATTACTATCATGAAAGTTTCATACAATGAACTATTTCTAAGTACAGACTTCAAATGAAGCAACATTGTTCAGAAAGACAGTGAAAGGTGCAGAAGACTTTCCGAAAGTGAACTGACTCTACTATAGTGGCAAAGATAAGCATGCAGGTAAAAAATTAGGTATTAAAAAAAACTTAACCAAGGTTACTCCAAACTGATGGTGGTCAGATTGACTTACTTAGGAAAGAGATGAAGAATAGCTATTGTATGCACCACATGGTATTCTCTAACATTCATACAGTCACTTCCCAGTCTGTTAATATTTTTAACTGCATAATAGCAGCGAGTATATCTAAATTCAAAGCTTCATTTGTCATCCTGTTTCAGCAGATATACAGCAGTAACAACACTTCTGCTGAAAGGTTGTGCTTTATAGGCCAAACAGAAATAAAAAGGACACAGCAATAAATAGAAACAAGTCAAATAGTCCCAGCTCAGATGAATGGCAAATCAGAGGTACAGAACAGAATGTAAGTCTCTCATTTTCCTCTCCAATCCTTTATGGAACAAATTTATGCAGCTGCTTATGGACTCACAATGTTTGGCCTAGATTCGCTATGATGTGCTGAGATTCCTATTGCAATGGAAAAAGAATGCGTTTATGCGAGTTTCCTTCCTAGGACTACGTGCAGTTTCTCTACCTCATAGTCAGCACCAAAAGCAGGAAGTCACAGAAATCACAGGATATGAATGAAGATCATAAATGCCAGGAATTTAATGTTATCTTGCCTAAAGGACATCTAATATTCTTATTTATTACTTTTGCTGTAAGGAAACATTTTAGTAAAAGAAATTACAGGAGCTTTTTGGATGTTGGGTTAATTTTGAAAATTAATGGCCTATTTGAAAGAATGTATACTAACAAATTCCTGCCTTTCATTTCATCCTAGATAAGACTATGGAATTTGGCCTGTAGTTCACTGTTACAGCTGTTTTCTTCCTTATACTCCTCCAGCAAAAAGAGATTTGTGCTTTTAGAAAAGAAATATTTTACCAAACATAATAATACCTCTATTTCTTCTCCTGTGGTACAATGTTCTCATGGTTTATGGGAATTCAGGAGGGAATAAGAGGCTGAGTGAGGGGACAGAAATTAGGAAGATATCAGGAATATTTTGCTAGCATTGCCAATCAGCTTGTTTAATCATTAAGGGTCCATATATTTGATGAAAATAGGTAAAAGTTCTTTTCACACAGTAAACATGAAAATCTAACAAGCATGAATGTTTTAATATTCTCCTTATCCCAACTGACTTATACTGCAAGAAAAATGAAAAACAGCCACACTTATGAAGATCACATATTAGACAGTTTATGAGAATGCAAGTAACACTTTTTCTTTTTAATTAACAAACTACATTAACAAATTCAGATTACTAGTAACCTGAAGTTTTAATCAATTACATTGAGTTTAGTTAATGACCTTTTACAACTCACCTCAATTCCCAGAGAGTCCTATGGCAAGCAGGAGGACTATAAAAACATCCATATGCGCCTTCAGATCATCACTGAAGTTGTTCCAGATTTTTATTAGAAACACAGATGGATTTTCTAGAAGAAATTACAAAATTCCTTCATTCTGCAAAGATCCTGTAGGGAATTTCCTGGCTACAAAGTCTATTCATTAGAATGCTAGCCAGAGTTGGTCAAATATTAAATGCACTGATTTTTAAATGTCACTCCTCTCACCCTCCCCCCCCCAATATAAAAACATAAATTGATGTATTCTAATTTATGGGGTCGTGTTACTTGTTACTGGCAAATATCCATTCAAGTGCTAGTCATTAAAGAACATTTTCATATATTCCCAAGGCTTCATGATTGCTTAACAGGAAATCTATATTAGGACTGGCTGTTCACTGTTTTCCTTGATACTTAATACTCTGATCATGAAATTGTACAGCACCAATACATAGCCAACAGACAGAAAAACTCAATGAGCTGCCCACTCACAGAACTGTTTATCAGAGAAACTTTTGGTAATTCTGTGTATTTCATATTAATCTGAAGAGTTCATTTGTCAAGATGTTCTTGCACATAAAAAAGAACAAACAGTTATTTGAGAACAACTTGCTAATAGCTCCCTCCTTTCCACTTAAACAGAAGAGACACACTATTAAAAATTTAGATTCCCTTCTTTTAATTTTGTTGTGCCACCATAAATGAAAAAGAAAAAAAACAAAACAACGAAACACCACCTTATGGAACATCACAGCCAGGTGCAAAATAAAGGAGGAGCAAGAAAGAAAAAAAATTAAATCCCCAAACAGGTACCTACATGAATGGACTGAAAAACAGAGCCACCTCTTCAAATTTATTACATTTTGCATTGACTACTTATTTGTAGGTTCCCTCTTCACTGCTGCATGACTGAACACTTAAGAATGAGACCTTCAGACTCAAACATGACTTAACCTGATAAATTTCTAACCCAATTTACAGCAACGTCATGCATATGCTAAAACCCATCTAACATAAATATTTAATGAAGAAATAAACCTGCCAGAAGAATAAATTTACAACACATTTAGCGTACAGCATTTTAGAGGTGTCTGCCGAGTAGGTTTTGCTGTCGAGACAAGGTTTTAAACTGCCAATAGTTTAAAAGTAGTAATTTTTCATTGCATTTCATTCGTAAGCTCTGCTCCTTTTAAGAGACTCCAGGCTGTCAAGGTTAATTGAACCCTCAGGGCCCTCAGAATGACTGCACTCATTGGGGCTCCGCAGGCTCCAGCTCAGCTCCCTGATTCTTTTGCTCTAAATCTTGTCTCAAATGATCTTTTTCATAAATACAATTTCAACTTTAATCTCCACGATGATGATCTGCTGATCTAATTCTCTGCTTTAGACCTGTATCTGTCTGCCCAGACTAAAATGGCTATCTTTCTGACATTTCATCATCAGCTTAAAACACCGTATGCACATAACAAGGAGCAGAGGAGAAGAAAGCTAAAATTTTCTTTTTGTCTAGACAGCATGAATTGCACCTGGATGACACTAAAATTCCACATCCAAACTTTCTGAACTAACCTGCTTTTTGCCATCAAACATTTCTAAGTTTTGGACCTTGCAGGAGCTCCAGAGCTCTTTCACAGAGCTGCTGGCAGATCTGCCACAATTCCCCAACCCCTGGGAAATTCACAACCATAGTCTGGCTGTTTCTCTCTTGGTGAAAGCGGAGGAGCACAATTCGTAGGTCAGGATGTAAGTACACTGCTTTTCTGTCGGCTGGTCACAGAGAAACTGCTCTGCTTGGACACCTGCGATGAAGCGACTCATCAACTTTGCTAAAGCAAAGTGCTTCTGTTCTGAATTTGGAAAAGGCGTTGAAGAAAAAAAAAAAAAAGATCATAAGAAACGAATGGGCTACGTTTGTGTTTAGCTTCATCTAATCTGATGCATCACTACAGATAAAATAGCTAAATTTCCTTACCAAATTAGTCTAACATCTTCAAACCAGTTTTACTCTCTGAGCAAGTGCATGGGTTCCATTGTGTTTAGAGGACTCATGTCCCCTTAGAAAAACCAGTTTTAAGAAAACTTTTGCTTTCCTTCTGAAACGGGGCTTTCAAAATTTAACATGTCAGGTTTTCTGCTGGAAATGTAAACATATTTTGGCTTTGTATTGTCATTCTGAGAGAAACAACTGCCTTAATACTGTATTAATATGCATAATAAATTTCACTTCCTGATGAACAATATCCAAAGTCTCCTTTTTTGTTTTAAGATCTGAAGTATTCAATCTCCTGCCTAGGAATGTTTCTGCCAAAAGAGCACATTTTCCCCCAAAAGTTAATGTCATACAAAACAAACAAACAAACAAACAAATAAATAAATAAAATTCAACTTCTGAAAGACTCATAGCCAGAAAATTATAGCTTGAAAATAAAACTGAAAAAGTAGAACAGGAAGAATGATACATTCATTGGGAGTCTTTATATCTACATATATGAGCACAAGTGGGAAGTATCAAAGTGTCAACCACACTGAAACTTAAATTAACTAATCACAATTATTGTCATTAAATTAAAACACTAAGAGCAGCTACCTAATTCAGAAATAGTCAATAGAAGTGCTTTATCAAATTGTGTTAAAAACCACTGCGGCCACTTCAAAATTCAAACTACTACGCCTCTTTTATTTTTATTTAAATATTCACATTTTTAACAGTCCACATGGATTTGCAGATCTGTTAAGTTAAAAATTTCAAATAAAAACCCCAAACTAAAAACCTATCAAAATCACACAATATGAATGATGCCAGGCTCCATTCTGCACTTCATTGTGTTCTGTGTTTTATAAGGTGATGAGGCTGATGAAACCCAACACAGTACAATGTATTGGATCAGGAGCACAAATGTAAATCAAATATTTCCAGACAAGTTGATGCATAGCCAAGCAGCAACTTGGTACCACTTTTATTACAAATGGGAAATATATTACTCTCAAATTGCTTTAGTGTTTTTAACCAGGTTCTTACTATTGGAGCTGCATCATCCTTGCAGAAGTGATTGAGTGCACTCCTTATATAAGAATAATTTTCTGATTTTCAAAATATGCATTGCCTTGAGTGTACTTTTCCTTTAAGGTACTTTATGCCTCCTAAGAGATTAGGATATGTTTTTAGAAACTCCATCCATCTGAAGTGTCCCAGTTTCAGTACTTCCCCAGTTTGTTCACATGCACAGATCCTTTTAATCTTTTTCTTACACTGAGAACCATTTAAAACTAGCACCGACAGAAATTTATTTTGCTCTGCTTCAACTTTTCCTGATGAAAGTAGTCTTTTCCTATTCCCCAAGGAAGTAGTTACTGGAACTAAGCATAGTATTTATTTTAATGCAGGGTTCAAGAAGGTATCTGCTGTTTACTAGGCAGGATCTTCCATTCTGCTCTACATCAGGATGAGAATGCTAAACTGCATCCCAGTTACTAAACCTGAGCAGGGAAGATTCATGCAGACTTCTGCACCCAGAGAGGCTATAATAATTAACTTCTCAATAAAGCTGTAATTAATTATTGACAATTTAATGTCCCTACTTTTAACCTTAAATAACAGGCGGGAAAATTACTGTCTGTCATCTCTTCTTCAGTACTGCCAGGTGCAGCACATGTGCTCTCAATCAGGTCATCCCATCTACATCAGCCACTTACACTATCCATTCATTCTGTAGCTGCATCTTCCCCTTCATAGCGATGGATTCTTCACTTGAATAATTTAAGTCTGAGTTTTATAATAGACACTCATCATTTAGTAAAATGAGCTGCTGAACGGGCCTTGGAAGCAGATCATCTCTAATGTTTTACACAAAAACACATCTCTCAGCTACTTAGAAAACCACAACTCCGCCAGCTGATATTAAATAGTAGTTACTAAACTGGATACGTAACCATGCTCTTTTCTATTTGTTTTCTCTGCAGTCACTTGGTGTTTTGAGTACATTTATTAATTTATAAGGTGTCTGTTGTTGTAGATAGCTTTTAAACAGTTAATAGGAATCCATGGCTCCTCACCCAACAGCACAACCGCACTCTGCCTAATAAACTCCTCTTGCACTAAAGTAATGATCCTCTCTTCTCTTTCACACCTCTCATGCTGAATTCACAGTTGTATAGTTACACATTTCACAATGTATGAAAGAAAAATACTGTATAGCTTTTCCATGGAAATTGCTTTTGTATCACAGGGATTCAGAAATTCTCCAAACCAAACAAACAACCTGAGAAGTATTCATATAATGCGTCTACCTCCAAGAAAAAAATTTAAGTTATGAATCCCATGCGTATCAGTAGATGGCATCTGCCAAACTTGGTGAATTTCTGGTTAGAAATTTCACGCAGAAAATACATATGCAAAAACATTTCTGCAGCTAAGGACGACTAGGAAAGTTAAGTCACAACTCTGAAACCCTATAATTATTAGCCCATTCAATTTAACAGCTAAGATAGATGGTTTCAAAACAGACACAAAAACAATGATGTCCAAAACAAGGAAGAGCTCTTATTATTTAAATGTAGAATGTAGCTGGGGAAAAAAAAAAACCAACACAAAAAAACCCAACCATATAGGATGTCTTGAAGAGCTGCAATTTGTTTATAATTTCCGAGCCAGCTTTCTTGTCCTGATTGTGTATATGTTTGAAGTATTTTAAGTGGTTGAAATACAGAATGATTCAAGGCTTCACAAACTAACATTCTGTTTTATCTTTATTTTGGGAAATACATTTGATCTGTTGAAGGCTTTGGTTAGATATAAAAGGTTATACTCACTTTTTTTTATATTCTAGCTTTCAAATGGAAGAAGTAGGCAAGTGAAGACTTTCATTTAGTCAGATCTGGGTCTGAAAACAGATAAAAGCATTTGAGGCTGAGTATAACCCTGTTATTACAGATCTTCCATGCTCAGAGTCCCCTGAGAAGTTCTAATGTTTTTGATTACCAAACATGGACTTTTAAATGTGAGATTATTTGACAATGAATTTCTAGTAATAGGCACAAATTCTTTTGAAATGAGCATTCAATTTCTTGTTTTCAGCCATTCTTTCTTAAACGTTTCTAGCTGATTTAAATCATCGCCTATGTCAGCT